TATCCTCCGGATTATAGGGAAGGGTGGCAATGTGTCGGGTAGTGTGGCTTGTCCTGGTTGGCCTTGCCCTAAATTGCTCAATCTTGGGCCGCTAAATTTGGCTTGAGGGACGGGCCCAAGCCTAAAATCTAGGTCTAGTTGCTGGGCTGGCTAGCCAAGCTTTTTTTTTTAAATGAATTTTAAAAAGATATTGGTTGAGTTTCTACTGGCCTGACCTGACCCATTAACGGCCAGGCAAGGCCATCTAGTTGAGGGACCAGGCTGGGCATGGACCCCTTTGGCTCGGTCGAGTTTGGGCCTGGCCCAGGCCATCCCTTGGTTGTCCCCTTGCCACCCCTGATCAAGGGTGACATAATAATTCCTAGGTCCATTTATGCAAGGCTTCTTCTGCCCAAACCCCGTTTGCTTACTAATTCTTGTTGAGCAGAGTCTGTCTTGGGCATTCCTTCCTCAACATAGTAATATTTAACTTCTTCTCCAAAACATTCTCTGGCCTCACATTCTCCTCATATCTCGTTTTCTTTTCCTTTTTTCTTCTACATTGCTCACCTCTAATACTAGCCAAGTGTTTCTCTAATGATGTATGCTGGTATTATGAATAATTTTGCAAAAATATTTGTTCCATTCCATTTCTTTTTGCTCCAAAGTCCAAATATTCAAAAAATCACTAATTGAAAACCAAATCATCAGAAAAGTCATCAAGGAACTCAAACCCATGCTAGAATAAAATTACAAAATCAAAAGGTCTAGAATCAAAATTTGAGACTAGAAAAAAATCACAAAACCAAGACCTAAATATTTGGAAAAGTCATTACGCCTAAACAAAATCTTGAGAAAAGTCATCAATAAACCGATATCTATATTAGAAAAACTTTGCAAAATCAAAGTTGAAGCCCAAAATAAAAAATTGAAAAATAAGAAAAAAAAAAAAAAAAAAACTTGTGACTTGGAAATCACAAATGAAAAAACCCAAATTGGAACTTAGAAATCACAAAACCAAAAATCTATCTTGAAAAAAAATATCCGAAACCCAATCTTGAAAAGTATCTAGTAACAAAATCCCAAAATTGAAATAAGCTAACCTTTTTAAACCTAATCAAAGTTGGCGCTAATGGGCAAGCTGTGGCTCCTTTAACATCTTCTTGAGTTCACAAGGAATCGTTTTCTAGTTTCTATGCTTTTTTTTTGTAGGAATTGGACAGAACACAAAAGAGTTTTAATCTTGAAAAAAAATTCTCTAATATTGGTTCATATGCATGTGGCAGGTTATGTGCATTTAGCATTGAATCTTATGTTCTTAATTTTGAGTTAGACTCCTACATAGATAACAAGGTTATAAAGAAAGTAAACTCTTGTATGTGAAACTCTTATGTCCTTCTTATCTATCCCTTGTTGGTCTCGGATTTTGTTAGTTTTCCGTATCTAATCTCTTCTAGGTATTCTAACATCTGAGATGCATTCTTTTTTGTTATCCCTGTCTTTACTGTATTTCAGCTGCGTTAGTTGATTTTGATACGTGTCAGTTGATTTTCTTAATTGGTTGGGTTTGTAGGCATGTATAAATGCTAAAATATTTTTGCTAATCATATCAGTGGATTCTATCAAATGGGTGCGCCATGACAGTATCGTTATTGGATGCATTCAGTTGACTAAAGATGGAAAGGAGGATTGTTATTCAGTTCATGTCATCACTAGCAATGGCTGTAAAATAACAGAGGTTAGCTTGCTATTGAAACAAAGGCTACTTCACTAGTTGTTTATTATTTTGTTTTTGTAGATTGTCCTTTCCTTACTTTCTTGCATTATTTCAGTATGAGCTTTCGGTTTAAAAATAGGGCAAGTTTTCTATGCTTCCCCTACAGCATTAAACTTTTATGCTTTCCCTTATTCAACCGTCCATTCTACATGGAGGGCCAAGATTGCCCCAATCACAATATCGCGTCTCTACATTATTTTATTTTTAATTTTTTTCTATATACTATTTTGACACCAAATTTTAGATGCCCCATCCTCTATTAAACTCGCACTAGTAAAAAGTATAAAAAAAAAATTTTCAATAAAATAAATGACCAAAATGCCCCTAAAAGTTTCAAGGGGTATTTTGGTCATTATATTTT